CTGAATTTAGTGCCCTCCGGAAATTCCGAACAGGATCATTCTCGGATTTCGCGGGAAGGCGTTTAACCTCGGTGGTCGCCGCAATAGTTTTCATCGGTGGAGCACTCATGTTGTCACTGGCACCCACTTATTGGCTCCTGTTGTTCGGAAGACTCGTTGTTGGGATCGCGGTGGGTACCTCGTCACAAATAGTGCCGGTCTACATAAGCGAGATTTCCCCGAGATTCTATCGTGGTCGCTTGGTCACGGTGAATGTGTTGATGTGCACCGGAGGACAGCTCTTCGCTTACCTAATCGCCACAGGATTTGTGTTTCCGGGAGGGTGGAGGTGGATGTTTGGTGTTTCAGGAATCCCTCCAGTGATACAATTGATTTGTAGGTTTTCAAAATATCGTCCCTGTTTGCCCCGAGTGTGGGTGGTTAATTTCCTTGATGTACCTTTCGTTGTTAAAAAATCCAGGCATCGTCTTTATTCCGGAAAGCCCACGTCACCTCGTGCGTAAGGGCGAGAATGAACGAGCAATAAGAATATTATCCAAAATTTATCCCGGTGCCCATCAGGATATTTTGAATCAAGGCAATCCATCCTTTCATACCTTATCTGTTAAACTTGTTAATGAATTCGCCTTTGATATTTTTAACCTGAAAATACGATATCAGAAATTTCGATAATTCAAGAAACGATAGCACAGGATATGGTAGGTTCATACAAACAACTCATCAGACATCCAAATCTCCGACCACTTGTGATCTCTTGTGGATTGCAATTGTTTCAGCAACTTTCGGGATTTGACAGCGCGATGTATTACGGGGTAAGTGTTCCTATTCGATGGCCAACGTTTCTCCTGGATTCCGAAATTTCTTTCTTGAATAATTTTTATTTTATCATCATCACACGAACAAGTCATTCACTAAAAAAAACTCATTCGTATGACAGGCAACAATAATGAAGATGGCTGGATTCACATCTATCAGAGATGCTATATTCTTTTCCATCCTTGTCTCTGGGACCAATTTCTTCATGACAGGTATTGCGGGTGTCATCGAACCTTTCGCCCGACTATTCGATTGTCCATCCACCTGCTCGCCTAACCCATATATCTTTCTCAACTGAACGCGCAAAACCTCAAAAAAAGGCATAGCGCTCCTCCTAATAGATAAAATTGGAAGACGTCGGATTCTACTGTTCACAATTGTCGGCACGGCAATCGGCCTAGTAGTTTTAGGCATTGGGTTTATTTTCGTCACGGGTTTCACGACAAAACAGAACACGTGTTTCGATTATGGAAGCAATTGTGGAGCATGCATAATAGATGATAGATGTGGATTTAGCATAGTTAGTGAATCGTGCGTCTTCAGGAATCAGAGTTTTTCGGTGGAAAACGGAAGCTTGTATTCGTCGTGCCCATCACTCAACATGGGAGGAAGCTGGTTCACTTTAGTCAGTCTGGTTATTTTTGTCATGTGTATGTCATGTCCTCACTCGTCCTGCAAATGTTTATTTTGCTCCCGTCCTTCTTCTTAACAGATTTTTCTTTCCTGTCTCTAGCATATGCACTAGGTTTGGGGCATGTACCGTGGACCGTACAAAGTGAGCTGTTTCCATTGAGCGTAAGAGGGAGGGCAGTGGGAATAGCAACAGGTTATTATAAATATTCGTTCTTCAGGTCCACCTCGAGACATTTGAGCTTTAATTGTTTTTTTTTTTTTTTGGAAAGGAAGGAAAATTAAATTTTGCATCTTTTTTCTTCACTCAATAAAAGCCACAAATTGGTTCACAAATTTAGGCATCGCCGTGTCATTCTTACCACTGACCGAGGCCATAACGATCTCAGGTAAACTACGCGGTGTGAGTTTTCTTTCCTTAACTAAGCTGATTTGTTTCCTCTAACGTATACCGTTATGTATGTATGCACCATTTTGATCACGTTGTATGTCACCTCTACTTCTCCCTTGATCGTGAAAGGAACATTTTGGATGTATGCGATATTCATGATAATAGGCTGGATTTTTGTTTTTGCCACATTACCCGAAACCGCTGGCAAATCTCTAGAAGAGATTCAAGAATTGTTTTTACTATAGAATCTATAAAGCATCCGTTTGTCACATCGTGGTTAAACACGAAATCATCACATCATTTGATCGACAGGCACTTGTATGGAAGTCATTTTCAAGAGTATACCATAATAATCAATAATAGATTGGACTGAACTGATGTATCTAGAAGAATGATCGATAGAATATTAAGGTGGCAACCTTAGAATAATCGAATTAACAAAAAGGGTATTCAACTGGTTCTTTCTTAGAGACTTAATCACGCAAAATGTCAAAATAAAATTTTTATAAAAAAAAAAATCTTTGTCACGTGTTTCTCTTTAATAAATTTCTGAAAAAATTTCCAGTTACGTATAGTGATTTAAGCTTCTAGTGACACATTAAACACAATTAATTCTGCGATAACAATTTCTGCTCAACAAATGGATCATCTAGCCATCCATGTCAGTTATTGTTTGCATAATAATGTTGGCAACGCGAAGCCTCTGCATATCCTACATTAGCGAGAGTGGATTGAGCAAGGCCACAAGTTTGTACATAATGTACACAGTATGCTGCACTGACATGAGTCATACATACAATTATGAATACTCAAGGTTCAGATAATAAATGCTTAAGGCAAAAAAAAAAAAAAGTTATATCTGTTTATTTTTCACTTGTGCAAATTTTTAACTGATGATTCTCTCCACGAGTTGGATTGCATTTTTCATTACATCAAGCCGCATTATTCGATGAGAACAGCGGTATCCATCGCTAACAAATATGATATGATTTATAACGTTGAAAGGAATATCATATAACAAACCTCTTAGAGGCACGTATCACCGTCAAAACATCCGACCAACAAAAAAAAAAAAAAAAAAAAGAAAGAAAGAAAGAAAGAAAATTAGTTGCACCAGATTTCTAATTTGTTGTCGCGCTGATATAACTTGACAGCCGTCTCCAGGTCGTCAGTGTTAAATATGGAAATGTAGTCACCGTCATCGTCCTTGTAGCGAACATTCCTTATTCCGGAAACGTTAAAGGCATCTTCAATGATATACTTGAAGTCGTTAGTAAGCTCCCGAGGATCAAAACTCAGAATACGAATGTCATCGCCGACATGACACTTGATTATGAACTTTCCCTTTGTAGGTGACGGATGAGAGGATCAATTAAAGTTAACAAGCAAGTCTTACACACAAGCCGTGACCGTAATCATAACAATCACCTGAACACGTGGAGTCACATCGACCACACCACCGCCCCAATTTGGAACTTGGGTTTTACAAAGTTTTATTCGGTTTATTTTATCCAAAACATAATTGATGTGTAGTCCGGTCATGTCGATAGCCTGCTGTGGGGTTGATTCCTGAGCGTACACGTGAATTTCCGTCGCCCTGTCTGTAAGCTCAAAGTCAGTTATGTACGACGGCATATATGCGATATACGGTGTGTACTCGCGTAAATATTGCGAACCTAAATTTTCACGGATCGGATCATCCCTGCTGAAACCATCCCTTGAATTATAGGTGATCTATTGATCGAGTGATGGTTATCATTGGAGAATGATCAATCAATTGTTGTGACTCATCCAACTCACCAGCTTCTTTGCATCCTTTTTCAAGGTTAGAAAAATGAGATTTAGTTGCACCTTGGAGATCTCCTCCAAGGCTTCCAAAGGGATGTAAATTTTCCCTTTGTTTCCATTCAAAAAAATCGAGATCCCTTCTTCGAGGTACTTGTAGCGGAACTTCAATTTATAAACATCAACTGCTTCGACTGACTCATGATATTCGTCAATGCCGATGCTCGACAGGCAAAATTCGATATGTTGCGGTTGATAGTAATGATGAAAGTTGTTGCTGTTGACATTATTCTGAGGTCTTCCGAAGTTGTGAAATTTCTTGTTGAATGTGCCGCCACGTGAATTGTGTTTCGAGTTTTGACCGTTGGAGTAGTAGTTTGGACGATTATTAAAGTTATCATTTTCCGAATGCACCTAAGCAAAATTATCCGCGTCGCGACAAGAGGGAAATTAAATAATAATAATAATAATAATAATAATAAAGACAGAAAATCCAATTCTTACCCACGGAATTTCATCCATTGTTATATCTTTCGCACTTTGATCGGATACTCCACTTTATTGGAAACTTCCTTTTTCCTTGTATAATTGACGCGACGTTGGAATGCTCATATAAGACGAATGCTGATGCTATTGATGACGCCTTACACCAATACTTTCTTGTGTGCAAACGTAATTGTGTGCGAGCGGAAATGAGGCAAGCATGATATATATATATATATATAAAAATGAGCGCACCTAGGCGTGTTGATCGTGTCCTAATTAAGAACTCCGCAGAAATTTACAACTGCAATTGCCTTGTGACAATGGCCGTTTTGGGGTTCAATCATTTGTAGGTTTCTCTTTTTTTTTTAAAAAAAAAAAAAAATCAAGCGAAAAGATGACGTATCGACCATAACGAGTCAATCAAAGTGCAGTGACATCTTTTCAAACATTATTACTTAATCGCGTTTATTAATGATAATTGGCATGTGTTTTATAATTGTGAGGTGGGAAAACCGAGTGCAAAGTTTGTCACCAACACGATGAGCGTTAAAATACAGTATAATGGCGTGATGTTAACATTTGGTCATGAACTAATCGCGAAAGCTAATTATGCAAAACTTCACGTCTTGGAATCTCCTCTTTCAAGAAACTTCAAGCGGCTCTGATAGAACTCCAGTAACTGAAAGATTAATAAAAAAATTTTTTGGTACTTTAGAAATTGGAAGTAAGTTATATGGTGAAAATTTGACGCTTAACTTTTTGCGGAGCTCTCTTTCGTAATCTTTCGTTAAGATGAATCGTCCGTTCGCCGGATTTCCTGGATTAAAGATGGCGACGGTGAAGGAGGTGATGGGTGAATAAGAGCGTTCGTTCAAGATGTCAAGCGAAACACTGCTTTGTAACCGCGTCGCGTTCTCACCACAAAACATAGACCACCAGTCTGTTACACGCATCACGTTCAACCGATTCAATTCGTCTTATGTTCTTACTCCAATTTTGACCTTTGGGTTCCACATGATTTATATTTGTCGCATGATTATCTGAATCATTACTGTTATTCAAACGCGGTTTTCGAATGCGCTTTTCTTTATCGCGAAGGCCGGAAGCTCGATTTGCGGTCTTAATCACCCGAACGTCGTCGTTTGCTGATCCGAAGTCAAGTGATTTTCGTGCAACGGTAGCTTCCGGATTTGAACTTTCGGAATTCCGCGCGGCGTGTGACTCTACCCCTTGCGAAACATCGGTCGATGTCACTCCAACCTCACTTAAATTATACCAGTCAAAGATCTCCTCCTCCATCTCATCGGTCTCAATGTCTTCCAATGATTTTGGTGGAACATACGGCGGGGAGCTGTTAGTCCACGCTGGCAGAAAATCATTGTTCCACTCAACTTCACCTTTATAGAGTTTAAAAAAAATTTTTTTTTTTTTTTTAAGTAAACCTATTTGGCTCGGCCCTATCGTCGTACATTACATTATTTACCTCCGCGCGAACTCTCTGTATCGACTTTTTTTTTACACGCCATAATAAAAATTTGAGAGAACAAATAAATTCAGGTCTTGTTATATCACTCAAATAAGGTGTGTTGTCATTTCATAAGTCTAAAATCTGTCGTCCAATCAAATCTTGATCATCAGATAGACATGCTAAACTCGATCCTATGAACTGCAGCGGAAAAATGTCATCTTCGAATGCGGACCAAGTTACCCTTGCGAATGAATGTTTTGGCGAGATTTTCAAATATCTAGACGACAAAAATACTCTCTATTCTTGCTTGTTTGTCAGCCGAACCTTCTGCAGATGGATCGTGCCATTTTTGTGGAGTCATCCGTTTACCCTATTGCCTCAAAATCACTCGGGCAAATTAATACGCACCTACGTTTCCTGCTTGAACGATAGGGAAAAGGGTTTTCTGCGAAAATTGGAAATTTCCCAAACTCTATTCCACCAAGATGTCCGGCAACCTTTATTTGATTATGCGTCATTATTAAGGGAGCTGGATTACTGGGGTTTCTATATGTCCGTGGTGTCATGGTTAGACAATTATCATTCCGACGTCAATTTTATCGTGAGATCTTTTATCGGAACGGTTATAAGGAAGGGAGGAAACATCAAAACACTTAAATGGTTTAACAACGACAAGTCCAAGGAATTACCGAATATTTTAAGATTTCCTGGGAAGGCATTCTCAAGAGTTGAATATCTTTATTGCGGGGGTCTCTCCACGAATTATGGTACATATCAACAGCTACTAAAGGCCTGCAAGAACATCACTAATTTGGAGATTCACAGCTATCAAAAATCCGATGAACGTAACCTGGCCACTTTGATCAGATCGCAAAATAATTTGAGGCATATCGCTTGTCATTCTATTTCCGGTGGTACCTGGAGATTAACTGCGGCTTTGAGATCGCAAGCGCGGAGTCTTAGATCTGTGAAATTTGTAAAAGTAAATTTTACCGATGTTTCCCTTAAGGGGCTGATCGGATGTGATAATGTGGAGACGCTTGAAATTTTTGACTGCAGCGGAATTGACATCGAAAAATTTTGGGAACCAATCATCGAAAGATCAGAATTTCGGCTTAAAAGGTTGTGTTTGGTTCGCGTTTCAATCTTGCCCGTGGCAATCGAGAAAATTATGGTTCGAGCAAACGAAAAACTTGAGGAGGTGACCATTGACCGAAGGGTGATGGATGAGATGCCCTATTTCCTGGAAATGTTGTCAAACAATTGTCCAAATATTTCCTATCTCAAAATCTTCTTGCGCGACATAGGCGAAATCCAACTATTATTTTCATGTGCAATCACTTGGTCAAAACTGAAAACATTGGTCATTCGCACGAGTTATGTTAATGTTGATGAAGTTCTACCTTCGTTAGCAAAATTTGTTCCAATATCTTTGCGCCTGCTTGACATAAACATGAAGATTTCACCGAAACCTCTGGAATCATTCCTGGAAGACTGCGAGGCGCCTATAATGAAATTAACTTTGGACCGTGATAGTATTACAAACGAGCATCTGAAGGTTCTTACCAAATATGCGCTCGAGAAGAAGAGCCTGAAATCCGTTGTATTCGCGCACACATATGGGTGGGGGGGATCGCGAATTTCAGAAGAGGTGGAAAACAGGGCAAAAGAGGTGTTCGAACTTGATGAGTCAACCGAGCTTGATGACTTTTTTTTCCTGTGCGCTGACAATAACGATAATTTATCAGAATGGTGGTGACAATGTGGTTGTGTCGAGTTCACTTGAGTATATAAGCTTTAATGCAAAAATAACCATTGAGGTTTTATATATCGTAGCGTTTAAATGATTATTGAATTGTGACAAGTTTCAATCTGTAGTATATGACATGACAAGAATTTTTAACATCAAAGTTTATTTAGATTTTATGCCAATAAAAAACTTAGCAATGCAATATACTGTAATTAATGCGTATTCAAATTTTTATTTGTGATTTTCAGTCAGTTAAACATATACAAAATTCAA